CCCCCCCTCCTTCGGGGCGGTGGCCCCGCGGCCCGAGACGACCCCTCAGGGAGGGACTGGGTCTGGGAAGGCGGGAGCAGCCCTGGCGGAAATCGATCCCCTGCTCGGCTTTGCTATATCCAGCACTCCGGGGCCCTGACTCGGTAGACAGAGTCTAAGCGAGGAATTGTCTCTTGGACCCGAGAGAGAGGCGTGTCTTATAGGTCCTCCTTCGGGGCGGTGGCCCCGCGGCCCGAGACGACCCCTCAGGGAGGGACTGGGTCTGGGAAGGCGGGAGCAGCCCTGGCGGAAATCGATCCCCTGCTCGGCTTTGCTATATCCAGCACTCCGGGGCCCTGACTCGGTAGACAGAGTCTAAGCGAGGAATTGTCTCTTGGACCCGAGAGAGAGGCGTGTCTTATAGGTGAGGGACAGTCCCCGGGCAGCTGTCCACCAAGCGGATCTCGGGGACCCTACCACACTCGAGCAAGTTTGGAGAGTTGCTGACCCCAAATCTGAAAATGGGAAAAGACTAGGAGATCAGTAGTGTGGGCTCAAAACCCAGCCATGGGGGGCGCTTCTTACCTGCTCTCCAGGAGGAGGACTCAAAGTCTGAACTCAGGTGGGCTGGCGCCACGAAGCTATCTGGAAGGCACCTCTTTTATCTGAGCCTGGGAGGCAGCAGCCTTGACAACTGTAAAGCTTTGTTTTGGTTGCCCCGGGCCCACACCTATAAACTCTGAAGTGTGATCTTGAAAAACAGGGTGCCCATAGGTTTGAAGGTTTGATTTCCAGACTCAATTCAGAGGGAAAGCAAGTTAAATTTTTGCCATTGATCTCAAAATTGACATTGTTTTATTTGCACCTGCCATCAGTTTACAGACGTGATCCCAAATACAGCTCTTCTGGTAGGCAGAAAGGGAAGAAAGGGTTAGAAAGATTATGCACGATACCCTTGCCAGCCCACCAACCAGACTGACAATTTTTAAGAAGAGTCTCAGATTATCCTCTAATCTCCAGCCAGGGCCACAACTAAACCATTCAAGGCAAATGAGGATCATTTGGGAAAGAAGAAATTATAGCAAGTAACCCTTATCCTCTCCGTGACCCAGGCGCCATGCTGAACACTTGCCATGCATTCATTCCATTCTCACAACAATCTTTCCTTACCTTTGTTCTAGATAGATTAATATGCCGAGTCATACTGTATGAACACCAAAAATAATTGCCTGCATCTCCCTTAGAAGGGAGAAAGGGAAGGGACAGGGTGGAGAATTTGTAATCTAATTATGCAAACAAGACATTTTGAAAGTTATTATTTAACCCATATCTTTCCAAATGCAGATGAAGGTGAGACTGGCTGGGAGAGGGCAGTCAGGAAACAGATAAGGTTGTTACATCCAGTCTAAAGTTACTAACTTCCTTCTGCTGGGCTCACAATAGGTAATGTTGAACCAAGGCTCAACCCCAGCTCTCCTAAGGCAGGATACAGCTTTCTTTCCACCACTCCAAGGCCCTCTGTTTTACTCATCATCACCATCATCATCATCATCATCACGCCCCCTACTCGGGGGCAAAACGGTGTGTCTCTTCCCAAGAGAAAGAAGAATCTATTAGCCATGCAATCACTCTGGAGAACAGGGACAAGTTTTGTTTTGTGCTCCCCTACCAGTACTGGGGACCAAATCCAGGAGCACTACCACCGAGCAACATCTCCGGCTCCCTCTCCTGCTTAAGACAGGATCTTGCTAAATGGCCTACAAAGGACTCAAACTTGCAGTCTACCCCCTTGGGCCTTCCTCAGTGCTGGGATTTCAAGGGGCACCACCACACCGTGCATGCTTTTTGTTCTTATTTCTAGTTTTGTTGTTGTTTGCTTGTTTCTTTTTAGAGAAAACAGCATGCAAGGGCATAGATAGACTGGTGCAGCTCTTGACATTGTGGGCAAGAAAATTATTAGTCACACCTATTTTCCAGGAACTGAAATCAGTATGTACCAAGACTGCAGTAATCAAAGGAACCAGAACATAAATTCTATGAATATTATGTGGGAACATGGCTACATTTCTTTGAGTGCCTCTGGCACCTATTCACTATATTTCTTTTAGAACACAACTCTTTTATTAGCTCTACTTACTCTACCTGTAGAATGAAGTTTTAGGCAAGTTACTTTAACCTCTTGAGCCATTTTCATTCTGTCAGACAAAAAAAATTCCTTTCTTAGAATGACAATTAGATGAGACAATATATTGGTGCTTTGTCATCTACACATCTCTGCGTAAGATCATGATCAATATCATGATTATTGTTATTATTATTATCAGCCAAGAACCACCCAGGCAGAAAAAACAAATCACTTAGCCAGAGTTATACTAGTTATCCTTTCCTTCCAGAGTCTTGAACTACGACTAATTGCAAAATCCTGTCAAGAGAGAGCCATAGAGTAAGGGACACGAGGGAAAGAGGAACATATTCATCTCATTTCTGGGACCTGAACATGAAGGAAAGAATGTGGGCGAGTTATGCTTATGACCCCTGTGACTTTGAGCAGATGCATGAAAAATATAAACTCTGTGGCATAATAATGATAGCTTGGATGTATACAGTTCTTATCCTCCCAAGACTTCAAAGTGCTTTCATACAAGCACTTATGTATATTATCTCATTTATCATCTCAGCATCTCTCTGGAACAGTAAAGACAGATATAATTATCCCCAAGTTGCAGATGGGAAAAAAGAAGGAATAAGAGAAGTGATTGCTCTTAGTGGGCACACAAATTGAGCTTTTGAAATCTCAGTCTCCATCATTCTTTGATATTCTTTGGCAGTCTGTTTACACATGCACACACATACATGTGTCTGATGATCATTTTCCTTCAAAATTTGCTCCTCCTCCGCTTTTCCATATTATTAACCAAGAGCCCTCATTATCTAGTTGTTCAAACTGGAAACCTAGGGTTCATTCATTTCCTCCTTTTCCTCTTTCTCCCTCTCCATCAAGTCTACTAGCATCTCCTAAACTATATTTCCATTTCTACCTCCTTCCTTTTGCCTCCTGCTGTGGTGTGGATGTGATCCGTCCCCTCCAACATTCGCGTTGAAATTTGGTATCCAGTGTGACAGTGTCGAGAGGTGATGGGACCCCCTTTGGTAGTTGGGTTGTGAGAGTTCTGCCCTCATAAGGGATTAATGGCTCTCTAGGGGCACAGAGTTAATAATTCTTGAAAAATCCTCAAGTTTTCCCCCTTGCAAGGTTAAACTCGTCTCTGTGAGAGCAGAATGTTATCAGGTGAGCCCACCACTTG